ATCTCCACAGTTATCTTTGTAAGCTTTTCGTAGGTACAGAAAGTCATATGAACAATGTATTTAATCGATAATGAAATGCGTTTAAGAAAAAAATTAGTACGAAAAGTGGACCGGTTTACAAGTTTAAAACAGATTCGGTTCGGTACAAAAGATTGCACTTTAAGGATTGGGAAAAAGTGGGAATGATACAAAGTTACAAACACAAGAATGTTGAGATTTCAACTTCTTGAAAGTCATACATAATCTACAACAATAACAAAACAAACACTACACATATAAATACAAACTCTACAAACTGTACCACCCATCACCGGAGTTTCAAGCGGGAAAACTAAAACCCGAACTTAAAAAGAAGAAGAGAGATTGTAAATTTCTTACCGGTTATCTAACCGGATTAAGTGAAAAAGAAAAGAAGATAACTTTATTCAATATCGTCGATCCAATCACCGTATATCCGACTGATTTTCGCCGGTCCTTTCCATTTCTGATGAGTTCTAATGCCGGGCTTCTGCGTAACCGCACTAGATGCTCGTTGCAGCGCGACTCCACCATGGTAACTAGCATCTGTGTGATGAGGAACTCCTGGAGATATAAGTGGTGTTGTGTCGGAATGTCCTTTTGGGTTTGGTCCTGTTTGCTTTATGTCCGCATTGGGCGATACTCCATCTTTGCTTTCTCCTTCTACAAGTCCTCCACCAAATCTATGCAACTCTGCAATTCATAAAGACTCAAACTTTTAAAGCTAGACTGACTTTCGGAACTTTCCAGGGTCATAAAGTTCAACAAATCTAAAGACTTAACTAAAAAATTCCACATATTTTAGAAATGTAAGACGAATTCGTGAACATTTCTTCGAGAATTCAAGCAATTCAACTCAGCCCTGAGTCTAAGAATAAAATTGCATCAAGAACTCATCTCTTTCAGTACAAATATCAGAATCACCACATCATCTCTCAATGCTTCGTGCTATCTTTCCACTTTTATTGTAGCACTAGTTAAACTCCTACAATACCTTTGATACCATTCTCACTAGTCCATTCTCGGCTAATAAGCTACTCTTAACCAAAGCTCTCAGCTTAGAGCCCTATCGTCCAATAATCTCTCATAACATTCTCACATAACCCATTTCGTCAAGCATTGCTTTAAAGTTTAATCAAACCTGCAAAAGATCACTAACTAAACTAACAACAAGAGACCCTTAAACTTTATTCAGTCCTTATGCTCAAGCCTAACCATTCCATTCCTCAATCTATAGCAAACAAAAAAGAAGAAAAGCCGGTATCTTTACCTGCAGCTCCATGAGCAAAATGACACTTAGCACCAAACGGACAATACCCAGTAATCTCCCATTTATTACAAATCCTTGTCTTCCAATTCGATGGCTTCACAATTTGAGCT